CCTATTTTCTGAAACCCCCAAATCGGTGGCTTCTGGGAGCCGGGCCATGACCCCCCAGCCAGCGTCCATGGAAATGTTCGCGGCCTCGATGGCCTTTGCCCCGCTTAGGGATCGACATGGGAGTTTCCGTAAATAGGGGACCCTAATATAGTACCCTAAATAATAGGATCCTTATTATTATAAGGACCCCAAAATAAGGTACCCTAATTTTCGGAAACCCCCACATCATCCCCATACACAACTCTCGCTCACGCACACATTGGATTCTGCAATCACTCAGAGCACCGCTTCCATGTTAAGTTAGTGCTGGAGTTGTTCGCTACTGCTCTGGGTCTGGAGTTAGATCTGCAAAGCAACAGACTGCACTTCGGTGCCCGAGAATCAGAAGGACCCTGACCCTGAAGTAGGCGCGAGGAGATAAGCTTCCTAATCACACCCGTCCACATATCGACCCTGTTTCGGAAAAGCTTCGGCAAGGCCTCTGCATGGCATACAGGGGTTGAGGGATAGTTCGTGACTTCTCCTTGAATCCGTTCGGATCTGAAAGGATCAGAACTGCCACGGAAGAGGGCCACTCCTCCTTCAACCAGCTCATCGCTTTCTGATTGAGGAGTGTCGGGGTTTAAAGGTTCAGGGTTCAGAACTGTTTGTGCTTAGGGGTTGGGAGTTTAGGGCCCATAGGGTTAGGAATTTGAGGATGCTGCACTGCTGCCACAAAGGAAGCCATTGGCCTGCAAAGTAACTCAAACTTAATGCCGCTAAGCCTCCAACCTCAAAACTTGAAACTGATCCTTCGTGGGTACTATCTTACGGTCCTATAGGTGGAGAGAGAAGGAGAGGGACACATATGTTTTCCGAGGTCACACATGGGTTTCTTTACGGATTGTGCAAGGCGCTTCTATGAAGATTTTGCAAGGCGTTAATGGGTTCGTAAGGATTGATAGGGCCAGGGTTCTGCATATCAGAACCCTCTCCCCGCCATGCCTCTGTCACAGAGCCGATCTGGTTCACCTGGCAGCTTGGCCGGGGCCCAAACCTACCAAAGTTTGAGGCCAAGAAAAGCAAAAACAAATCGAAGCTTGTAAACCCTATAATGATTCCGAAAAGCAGACCGAAAACTATACACCTGAAAACTCAAAAGCGCAAACAGCGCAAGCTGACGAGGTCTCGGCTAGCAGGATCTGGGACACTTCGGGACGGAGCCCTCCACCCATACCCCCTTACCTCCTCTGCATCCTAAATCCGTGAGCTCCAAGCTGGCACAGACTAGCCTAAACCCCAACACCGAACGTGAAGCCCAGAACGTAACAGCCCCTACCTGGTGAGAGTCTCAATTTCAACGGCTCGATTGGCTTTTCCAGGGTAAGACCGAGCCATAGTCTCCAGTGTAGGTTATTGGGTACAAGGTCTAGGGTAGATATGTATATATATATAGAGGTAGGTAGATAGGTAGATAGATATAGACTAGATATATGTATATATATATATATATATGCGGTTAGGGCTTTTGGTGCCTTCTGCGGCTGGGAGCTGCGTGGGCAGGTAAAATCGGGCTTCGGAGGCTAGAGCTTACGGTGTTTTTGTGATGTGAACTCAGCTCCTCGCAGGCGAAGCCTCTCAGCGAAGTAGATTTCAAACGATGCGCTAGAGACCTGATAGTTTGGACAACAACCTCAACACCACCAAATCCAAACATCAGGGGACATCTAAAGGCACATAAACCCAAAATATTGAACTCGATTTGCGGCCTTCAGGAGCAAGGCATTGCAGGCTTTGCAGCCTAGGGCTTTTCGCACCCGCGTGGGGTTGGTGACCTCAGGAAGTTGTACCGGTCAGGGATGTGGTTGTGCTTGAAGCCCAGAGGTAAAGCCTGGGTTCACGTTGCCGGTACAGGTAAATCTGTATTCATATGAACTCAGTCTATCTTACATGCATGAACGAGGGGATGTTCCTATGCCCGTCCACTATGTATATGGGTGTATGAGGGTCCTAGAGCTTGGAGTTTAGGGCCCAGGGCTGTTCTCATGCTGGGCTCGGAATTTAGACTCACCATCCAACACCACTACACAAATCGAGGTTTAAGTGTGCGCATGTGTGCTCAGAGCTTTTCTATTCCCTTGCAAGTGGTTGACAACCTGCCCTGCGGTAGACAGGATCACAGGGCCGGCTTGCCGAGGTTTCGGGTTCAGAGAACTACTTGCGGGATTCTTCACCCAAAAGGTCTTCAAGCTTGGCCTTTCGCAGCCTGCAGTTTCGGGCTTAGGGCTTTGGGGAGGCGTTGTGGTATAGGGCGTTCAGGCTTTGGTTGGGCTTTCTGGGGTTCTTTTGCTTTGTAGGGTTTGCAGGTTCGACGATTGTAATCATAGCCCTTAACCCAAAACCCCTAAACCCTATTATAGTGATAGTATGAGTATGACTATTGCGACACAAACCCTTGTAAATGGTGGCGAGGCGAGTGGCGAGCAGGTCGTCGCCGACGATCTGCACTTGGTCACCGACTGCCGCGTTGAACCTCAGTAGTAGTATACGTCGTAGTAGTAGTAGTAGTAGTAGTAGTAGTAGTAGTAGTAGTATAGTAGCAGTACCTCTGGTGACCAAAAAGCCCTCCTTCCAGAACCCTTACAGCTCTTGACCTGGAAGACTACGACGCAAAAAAAACAAACGAAATCCTACCCAGTCAACCCGAAGCCGCGCAGGAAACCGGTCAGATCAAAGGATTGATATATTGGGCCTCTGGGATGCTGCTGCTGCTGCTACGACGCTCCTGTTGCTACCGCTGCTGCAACTGCTGACGAGGAGAACGACATGTCTAGCACTAGGTCATTTCAATGATCCGCATGACTGTCTGAGCCTTCAGTCACTTGTTTTTCTGTTTTCGCATATCGTATGAACGCATCGCAAGCTGAGCAACTTTGTGTAGGCTTCCCAATCGTCTTGATCGAAGGGGTCCTCGACACTTGGAACTTGCAGATCTGATGAACAGCTTTAATTTAGGGGCTTAAGGAAATGGGTTCGTATGCTGCTATTAAGCTTCAGATGCATTATTCTGCTGAAAACACAATGCCACCTAACACTTGATGTCGAGGCGCTACAAACAACGTCCCCAGTCCCCATAATGCACATCTGCACTCACATTCCACTCAGCACAGACCCCTCTCCTCGATCGACACGAAGGGGTAGGACGAGAACCATGCCTGTGCAAAGACTGAACTTCCGACGCACCTTTTCAGGGTCTGGTGATTGTGGATTGAAGGTTAGGGTCTCAGGGTGCAGGATTCTACATGCTGGTCTTGCAGGTAAGGTTTCTGGGTCCAGGAAGCTGCAACGGCTTTGGGCTAAACTCGGAAGAGTCCTTTTATTGTTTAGGTCCTTTAGGTATCCGGTGGATGGAGCATGAACGGCCGGAAAAGAGTTGTCGCAAGGAAGGGTTTCCTTCAAGGACACTCCGTTCATGGCATGGCCTTTCTTGCTTCCCCTGTCGCGAGCCTTCAGGCCTTGGTTTCGTCACAGTTCTGTAGCTTAGGCTTTATAGGGTTGAGGGTTTAGGAGGAGAGCCCTTGATGAAGGCTCTTGAGGTCCCTTTGTAGGCTTTCCTGGGTTTGCACCCTGGTTTCTAATGACATGAACCGAACATGTTTTCGATGGGAAGATGATATGTGGGGACCCCCTTAGCTGAGGCCCCTATGTCCGCAATTTCTACCAAAGTAGAAAGTTCTCACATCGAAGTTGCAAAAACAGGACCGCTCCACGTGGAACGCAACAAACCTTGGCTTACACAGCAAGTGCCCAGTCTAACAGCTAAATCGCCTACGGCTACACAAAATATGAGACATAGGAAAGAGATCCTAACCCTAAACCCTTAACCAAAGGGGTTTGTAGAGCAACTCCCAAGTTAAACTCCTGGTTCCGTGGCCTTGTAGTACTCGATCATCTCCTGAAACGTGCGAAGAGGTGGGACGTTTGAGAGCTCTTTGGTTTCATTCGGCTTTCAGAGTAGCCCTAAACTGTGGCGTCCCCCCCGTTGGGGGACAGCTGTCAATATCTCCCAAATTCTTCGGGGGCAGCCACCGCTTCGAACATGGCATCCAGTTCTTCAGGCAGAGTTCAGGGAGCTCCAGGGCCAGGATGCTGGCATCTGGGAACTGAAAGCGTCTCCAAAGTATAGTTGAAACAACCGGGCTCTTCTGCAGCAGGTCCTCAGCAGTCTTCTTCATCTCCGGTGCACCGCCAGATTCGTTTTTGAAGTCCAGGTCGTACTTCTTCTCCTCTGACCTCTCACTTTCCGGTGCATTTGGGCGGAGTTTGGATGCTAGGGCTGCGGCTTGAAATCTGAAAGCTTCGAGAAATCCAACAGCTTCAAGCTAAGTAGCCGAGAAAGAGTTGTGACCAACAAGACCAGCCAAGATCTAGGAATGAAAGTGACAATGGGAACATCTTCCGAGCCGTCCATCAGCTGCTATGCCAAGCTCCGAAACCTTAGGCCTTAGATGCTACATCACCGCGGAGCGGTACTTCATCACAATATGAGGATAATGCACAGCAGAACGCCTTTCGAATGATACTGCCTGACATGATCAGAACACCAATCATCCACTGACCAAGAAGACTTGGGACCCCGAAAGCTCAGCTTTGAGAACTTCTTGCAGTTTCAGTGTCACCCGGAACCTAACTCCGCACCACTCGACCTTAATTGATGCGGGCTTAATTTCACCACCCAGCCTCAAGGAAAAAACGCAAACTGCGGAGACCCCCGATCGACCTTGGGCTGATGTTCAACACACTCTGCATATGGGGGTTTCACGAAAATTAGGGGTACCTTTTGGGGTCCTTATAATAAGGATCCTATTATTTAGGGTACTATATTCGGGTCCCCTATTTTCGGAAACTCCCATATAGCCCTGATAGGAAATTCATGCATGCCCGGCAAACCAACACCCCAAACCGATACCTCGTTCCTAGCCCGAATCATGGCAAATCCCGACACAATTAACGTAATAACGTAATACTTACACCTACAACCAGCCACCAAAGCCAAGAATTCACCAAACCCCGAGATCTTCAACCCGCCAAAACCCCAAACCACCACAAACCCGCGCAGACTCAATCCCTATACAACTCCAGCCTCCAAAACTCGGAAGCAGCAACGTCCGTTCCGATCTTCACTTTCCCGGCATGGCCGGACTTCTCTATTGCCTCGGACCATGGACCAGAGCTGCGGAAGCTTAGCTTTCGGGCCTAGATCCTGAACCATTATAGAAGCCCTTATAGAACCCTTTAAAGAACCCTTTAAGGAACCCTATTCTAATTATTAAGGTGTCAGGTTAACGGCGGTGTCCAGGATTTTGGGGCTTCAGGGTCGGTGTGATGTGGGAGTCGGGGTCGAGGGTTGGATTGGGGTCGGAAGTCAACACAGCGAGGCATGCTTGCGTTACTGGCACAACTTGAGCAACTGCTAGCTTTGAAACTTAACCCTAAGCCCTAAAGCCTTAACCCTAAAATTGAAGTTTCGGCGCTTGAAACCTCGAAACACTGAAGCCAAGACCTAAGCCCTTAAGCCCAATTTTCCTACGCCGAAAACTTCAGCACCAGAACCTCCATTCCCGCGTTCATACGATAAGCTCCGATGCTTATGCCACAAGCCCTCTAAAGCCCAGGGCGACGAACCTAATACAAAGGTCTGCTTAGTTTGTAAGAAAATCTCCTTCGAATCCCTGTTTCAGGATACTATACCATATCCCCAAACCCTATTCCAACTCCTGAACCTCACTATTAACCCCAATCCTTGCAGAGATGCCCGCTAAACCCTAAACCCCCAAGCCTTAAACCCTCAACCCCTAAACCGAAATGCACCTCCATGAGTACATTGAGGGCTTCATTGTTGTCTTGCACGTTGGGCGCGAATCCCTGGGCAGCTGCCAGTGGCTTCGAGCTTATTAAGGTCGGGGCGGGGGGGTTTAGGGCTGGGGCTTTACGGTTTCAGGGCTTGGGGCTTACAAGTTGTTGTGTGTGTTTCTTGAAGGGGTCAAGGGATTCGAGATGGCTGTACCGGCCGGAAGTACCATTCCACCTGCCTCATCTTGCAATCCTACGACATAACTCGAGACTTCGCAGTTCCGCTGCTTTGGATGGATGTTGACTTTGCACCAAAGCCCAACCGCGGGCAGCTGCCCTTGTACAGCTAAGGCATCGACGCCCTCGTCACCCACGTTGCATGCATCCTGGCATTGGCACATTGTCTGCGGGGCGTCTCGAGTACTTAACCCAGGGAAGGAAACCGGTATACGCGGGTCCTAACTTCACCGCGTTTTGGGAGCTCCTAAACCCTAAACCCTAAACCCTAAACCCTAAACCCTAAATGGGAGCTCTGTGCTTTTCGCAATCTCTTATGGCCGGCACAGAACTATCGCTTTTTCGCTCTTCGGGCCATGAGCCCTCAGGCTTCAGAAGCTCATAAGTCCCAGAGTCCCAGAGGAGAAATTGCTTCGGGTTTGGGTTTAGGGTTTAGGGTTTAGGGTTTAGGGTTTAGGGTTTAGGGTTTAGGGTTAGGATTCAGTCTCACAGCCACATGTTCAGAAAAAAAGCTGGAGTGGCGGCAGATTCCGAGTAGTGAGCGGCTGCCTCAAGCCAAACCCCGTGTGCCGCATTTGCAAGTCCTACCTTAGCCAGTGGTAACGTGCTCAAGAGCTTTAAAAAGCGCAGGATCTGGCAGAAATGCATGCTCCTGGCCGTACTTCTTCTTGATCACACTCTTCAGGGTGTGGTAGACTTCTGCCCCAATCTCCATTGCATTCTTAAAGGAGCTGGCACCTCAGATGAGGATGGTCCCCTAAATTCTCCGTGCCACGTCTCCGTGCCACGATTCTACTCTGTAGTTTAGGGTTTAGGGCGCATAGGGCATAGGGCATATGGTATCTCTACACATGTTAACGGTCTTCTGCCTGTCATATAAGTACGCCGCACCTGTTTCTTCTGGAGTTATTCGGCCCGGCCGGGATGAGAGCTACCTTAAGAACCCAAAACCCACATTTTTGTAGGTTCTTATTATAAACCCTAATATGGGATTTAAAGGGAC